TCGTTCTCCGAGTGGTGGCAACCCGTGTGTTTGTTTTACCATAGCACTAATTGGTCCTCCTTGTCTGACACATTTCGTTTTACAGTCACCCTTGCACAAAAGCAGTAACAAAAGAAAACAAAAAGAAGAATCCCCGCCCCCCTTGCGGAAACAACAACAACAATGTGCCTATTTTCGGATGGGACCTCAGAAAGGAATGGTTTGTTTTCTTCATCTTGATCAGTCCTGTCTAAGACGGCCACTTTTCTTCTTGACAATGGGTGGCCGTCTTACACAGGTTCGACTGTATAACATGCCTTCCATTATTTCATACTTATAAATAATAAGAACTTCACCTGTAAGCGTGACGTATTTATCATTTCCATAGGGCTCGAATCCGAGAAGTAACTCATTTTGTCAGAACACTTAACGTACCGGAATACATGTATATTGATAAACATTCAAACCAAACATTATGTTGTAAGTAGTTGTTTATTTCACTACAAAACATATACAAGCAGCTGTGACTGCAGTAACACACTTTGGGTCAGGGTGGTCCAAAGTTTTCAACACCAGACTACATCAGGGTTTTTCCAGATGTCCTTTATTTTTTTAAACATTTTTCTTTCCTCTATAGAGATCTAGCTAGATATACAGCTGAAAGTTACAGAGATTATATTTTTTGGTTGTTTTTTTTCTGACTGATGTGTTTTTTCTTTCCAAATACACAACAAATTACTGACACTGATATGTTCTGTTTTCAATTTTTCTGTACATAAAACATGGAAATCATGAAAATTCTTGTGAGAAAGAGTGGAAAAACATGTCGCGAATAGTGTTACGGTAACTTGCATAATTTTTGCATAATTTTGCTTTTTTGTGTGCATAATTTTGCTTTTTTGTGTGCATAATTTGGCCATCTAAATTTGCATAATTCTACGGGGACAGTCTTATGAGCATAGAAGGGTGTCTGAGAAAATGCACATTCATCAAACTTAAAACCTTGCACTTTCTAAAAAAAAAAAGAGAGAAAAGAATGAGACATACATGGTACTGCATAATTTCTACTGTTCATACCAAAAATGCACATTTATAAAACTCAAATGCTTTGCACTTTAAAAAAAAAAGAGAAAAGAATGACACACATGCATGTTACTGCATACTTTCTACGGTTTATCATCATCATCCAGTGCCAGATCTGGGACAGACGTCAGCAATCATGGTTCTCCATTCATTCCTTTGCTCAGATGCTCTTAAAAAAGCTACGTTTCCCTGATCTTTCCCTGTTACCCATTTGTTTAGGTTCCCTATAGGTAGCTCTGGGCCTACCCCTGCCTAGTTTGCCTTCAACTTTGCCAATGACAGCTAGATGTTCAAGACCTTTGTCTACTCAGATGTTCTACAAACTTCATTTGTCGTTTCCTTATTGTTTTTAATAGTGAGCATCCCACGCAGGCTTCATCAAGCACTACCTCATTTGATTTTTTTTTCCTTCCACTATATTCTCAGCAGTCTCCTAAGAAACTGCATTTCTGTTGCTTTTATTTTATTTTCACTATCTTTCTACGGTTTATACCAAAATTTAATGTAAAGTGGGCCCCACTTATATCGCCAGTCCCGCCAGTTACCGCATACTTTCTATGGTTCATAACAAAATTTAATGTACAGTGGGTCCCACTTATAATAACGGTCTTGGTTACAACAGGATACTGAGAAAAGCAGACTTACCACAAATCCTGGAGTCCGATCTCTCATACTTTTTAGTAAAAAAGTTCTTTTCCAGACGGTATTCAGACAGACATGTTCCACTATAGTAGTGGTCCTAACATCAACAAAATCTTCATACCAACTGACAAGAAAGCACAAAAAAAGAAAATGAAGCAGAATAACATCCAGCAATCCAGTATGAAGGTGACCCACAGTAGCCTGTAGGCTTAAGTTGACCGTGTACACATTTTAAGGTGTGCCATGCTGTATTTGAGGCCATTAGTTCTACATAAAAATCACCCAGAATCTAAGCAGCCCAAAGTGGGGTTTAAATTTTTGTTATAGAAGACTGCTTCGGGTCAAAAGGACAGATAAAAAAAAAAGAACAAATGTAAGTGTCCTGAAAGAACTTGATACACAGTATAGAGTTGTATGGTCTTTTTAAACCAGTAAAAGAAGATTCGAGCACCTTTGTTACAGAAACATTAAAACAGACCTGTTGATAACTGTGCTGTAGGGTAGAGCAAATTAGAGGCAAAGTTTTCATGCAGAGATCTGAACTCCTGTCCTGCCATGATCAAAACCCAAATGACACATGTTGGCTCTTCAAAACATTGATTCTCCAAAAAAACCATATTTGAAGTAAGGGGAGGCCATAACAAAATGAAAGAAGAAACAACAATGAAGGTGTAATTTGTAATTGTGCAGTATGAGATTTGTGCAAAGGAGTGCAGAACTTCCACTGTCTTCAGGTACTGTAACTGCCAGTAACTGGTGCTTTCTGGCACGCATTGGCCTAACTGACAACAGGTGAGATCACTACAGGGCATGAAACAAACCGCCACCACCCGCTACTGCCACATTGTGCAACTATCAGCACATTGCTTTACATAGACAAGAGCGAGCTTCGTGAAGTTCTTGATGAAGGTTGCTCAAATTCATCACTCAGGCTGCAGTTTGCCCACCCTTGACGAAAAGAGTGTTACTACGAACGATCCAGCTACATGTTCTCAATAATATTGACTGAATATGATTTTGTCCCCAGTTACACTAGGGCACCATGTACAAGTCCACACTGAGGTAGACTAGAAAGAATTAACCCTTTGAGCCCTGACCTCCTGAGGCTACCCTGCTCCTCTGCCTGAGCTGTCCCCGTCGGACTATGCGATAGTCCGGCCGCATTTTTTCGCATAATTCTGCAACATATATTTGCATAATTTTGGATTCCCTCGCGTTTTAAATTTTTTTTTCACAAAACAATTTATTTACTAAACACATCGTTGTGTGACTACAGGGAAGTGGCTCATAATAGGTCTATGCATTTAAGTGTCAAGTTGGTTATTTCCCCTGTTAGGGATTTTAGTTCCTTGAGCATGTTCAATTTTTCAATCCATCAAAAGTAAGTTATTCTCATCTCTGCTGATGTTTCATGTTTGACAGGTGTCCCTGGTTTTAGTGATGTGCCAGCATCAGAGGTCCAGATGTTTGTTTTTTTGGTTTTTTTTTTTTAATTTGTAAAAATAATTCCTCCCCCCCCCCCCCCCCCCCCCCCCTGTATACAGCTGAAAGTTACAGAGATTACATTTTTTTGGGGTTTTTTTTCTGATTGATGTGTATCTTTCCAAATACACAAATAACTACTGATACTGATATATGTTCTGTTTTCAGTTCTTCTGTACATAGATCTAAAAAAAACATGAAAATTCTAGTTGAAAAAGTGCAAAACATGTTGTGAATGGCGTTACGGTAACTTGCATAATTTTTCATTTGTCTTGCATAATTTGGCCATCTAAATTTGCATAATTTTGCAGGGTCAGCCTGAGCTCCTGAGGGATCCACGCCTTCATTCATATCATCATCAGAATCCCTTTCCATATCTCACTCCAGGTAAACCTCATCATTACCATCTTCTAATTCACAAAGATCTTCACTTCATAATAATAACGTCCTGTGTAGTAAACACGGTTTCCCACTTGCGTTTTATCCAAGGCGTGCCGGGTTGCGGATAGGGTCTCGCTCACTGGTGTACCGGTGGCTAGGTATACAGACAGTTTTACGCACCACCAGTGTATTGGTGGCAAGGGCTCAAAGGGTTAAGAACATACCCACTGCTTAGTGAACGACTTTGCCGTACGGCATTTTAAAAAGTGACATATGACGGAGTCGTACAAGACATTGCTTTGAACGTCACAGAGGCCTGAAGCCAGTGATATAAAACACGAAATTACAACGTATACAATATATATACATATAAGTCAAATCTGCTCTAATGATTACCTGTCCAAGACAACCACCTGCACAAACAACCACACTCCATGACCGACTCCCCTCCCCGTGTGCTCTTTAAATATGTTATAATGACCCTGTCTAAAAGGACCACCTAAGATGACAACTTTTCTCCTTGGCAGTGAGTGGTCGTCTTGAACAGGTTCAACTGCGTAGGTGCATAAGTTCAACTCTCTAAAGCCTAATAAATGTGAGGTGTGTGGACAAAATGAGTCAATACGGATCACAGCCCTATGGACACAGATAGATGCAAGAAATGTATAGGTTGGGTTTGAACAATTCATTATATGAAATGATAAAAGACATGACGCTTAACTTGAGGAACAAGGTGTCAGTTGGAAATCTCCACAATTCATGTGTCTCTTTTAGGAAAACACCTCCATTCGTGGATTGCGAGAAGTGAGTCATTTTGTCAACACGCCTCACAAATGCACAATGGTTTGTTTCGTATACTGGTCTTCCCCTGTGGCCCCAGTTCAACTTTAATCCCTACTTTTCTTGTCTCAAGGACTGGGACCTTACACAGAGAACTACCTAAATTACAGTCTAGAGCATACATGTCCAAATCTGCAGAACCCAGAAATCTTTTCATTATGTATGAATTTTGCTATATATTCATACCTTAAAACAAATGAAATACATGTGTAATAAAAAGATTCTGGACCTGAAAATCCGTGTGTGTTTCGCTATGTGTGTGCTAGACTGTTATTAATAGATTTAGTTCATTTTGAGCATACTCAACAACAGTGGAAATCACATCCACTCACTGATCCGAACTCTGGTTAGTGTATAAAAAACAAGCCCAGCCTGACTACACCTTGGACGGTGAAAAAAAAACCCTTCATTCCAATAAACTAAACTTATCTCTGAATAATGAGCACGCAGTTACCAGAGTACAATAGAAAGAGATAGAATAAAAGTGAAAAAGGGTCAGTGGGTCGCTTTCACTTTGGCTCTATCCATTTCTGTCATGTTCTCCCCAGCTGCTATAAAAGTAACACTGAATAACAAGAACCCAAACACCAGTAAAACAACAGGGAGCTTATTCGTACGGAGGTCAGTAAAACACGTCCACTTTGTCCTGGTCAAGTTCTGAAATTCGCTGCTTCAGCTCCTCTGGCTTGAAGACTCCAAACTCAGTGATTATTCCCCCTGTGATGAGGGATGCTGGAGTGACATCAAAAGCTGGGTTCCAGCAGTTAATATCTGTGTGCGAGAAAACAAAGCATAGTGAAAGTAAAATACAGTGAATACTAGTAAGCATTCAGTAACTTAAAAGAGGTTCAGATATCCCATCAAAAGTACAAACAATGAACTACAAAAAGACCACCAATAAGATTGTGTCCAAAATGTGATGTTAGTTCAGGCGGAGGGCTCAAGTGACAGTGGGATGTTAAGAGAAAATAAACGCGTCAAAGAGTTCACATCTTCCGTGATCCCATCTGCAGCAGACACTGTACAGTACCTTCTCATTGAGATTTTTACAAGGGAGATGTGATCACATTTATGAAAGTGGAAGATCTGTGGCAGTGCAATGATCCAAAATTTTCGCTGCTTGGTTGATCAGCTGCGCCTGTTAACATTTTTGTTCTGTAAATTATGATCTGAAATGAGGAATCTTAGCTGAATGCATTCCTTCAGAGCAGGATCTTGGGGGTGACTTTTGTGGGCTAAAAATAGTGTGATTCTGTTTTCTTGTAACAGTGGGATTTTAAGCGAACCGGAATTGCAAGTGGTGGGATCTTAGGCAGAGACTGATGTACTTCTCTTTCATAGCCATTATGTCACATTCACACAAACACATTATAAAACCACAACTGTGAAAGGCTGTAAACAAAGAACAGTGTATGAGGATCACTTCTTGCTTGTTTATATTAGTAAGGTTTTACGGCACTCGCAACTGCATACGGTCATATGAGCACCAAGGGGTGGATGTCAACAGAGAAGTCCAAATGGGGAATCAGGCTTACTCTGCTCACCTCTCTAGACTCAACAGCACAAAGTCTGCTTCGACTATCAAGGCACCTCGAATATAGCAGTTCACAAGAGTGACAAACATACAAAAGAAGTAGAGGAAAAATGACGATAGTAAGGATGAGGAAAGAAAAAGCAGCAGTTCCCCTTATGCTGTTTCGGCACAGTATGAGCATGACATTGATAAGTCAGCCCATTTACAATTCTATTGTGCATAACAACATGTTAATATCCTCCCTTTGGGAACGGCCAGAAGAAAATAGCACTGCCCTGGTGGGGGAGGGGGGGGAAGAGGGGGGATTGCTTCAATCTCACTAGGAGAATAGCCTTCTGTAACAAAATGCATATATATATATATATATATATATATATATATACATACATACATATTATGAAGTACACAGTGAAGACTTACCATCCGGTGCAATTTTCACACCTTTCACCGACTTCATCTCGTGGTTAGGGCGCACTTCTATGTGGATATCCTTCCCGGATTCAATACTGGGGTCAAAGGTTGTTTTCGGACAAGCGACATAGAAAGGAACATTGTGGTGCTTGGCAACAATTGCTATTTGATAGGTGCCAATTTTGTTGGCAGTGTCTCCATTGGCTACTACTCTGTCAGCACCAACGACCACAGCGTGGACTTTGTGTTCTTTCATGCAGGCAGCCGCCGTACTGTCACAGATGAGAGAAGCGTCCATCTTTTCGTGAACCAGCTCGTACGCAGTGAGTCGGGCGCCCTGGTTGTACGGCCTCGTCTCTGTGCAGTACACATGGCTCAGCTTCTTGTGCTCCTGAAGACAGCGAATCACACCTGGGGATGTTGTTTTGGTTTTGGTGAGCCTTTTATGGCGCTCGAAACTGCATAAGGTCATGTAAGTCGGATTCTTGAGTGGGCAAGTTATTTTATCAAGTATCTCCATCAGCCTGCTGGGAAGCTGTTTCCCACCTCCAATATAATGATCTAAATTGTGTCAACGGGGGTATAAAAGATTTTCAGTTATTTCTACTGAGCTCTAACATGTAATGACCCCATCCAAAACACGCTTGTTGAGAGATGGATTGTGTATTTATAACCCCCCCCCCCTACACACACACACACACACACAAGAAAAAAAAATAGAATTAAAAAAAAATTGCTGAAGACTGGTTCAATGCAAAGAGATTATTTTTCATTTGCACATGTTGATCTGAGCCAACTAAATGTTTTTCTTCCACCCAAGTCTTACTACAGAAACTTGTCCAGGATATAGTTTAGTTTTTACTTTTAGTAAGGTTTTACGACGCTCGCAACTGCATAAGGTCAGATGAGCGCCAAGGGGTGGACGTCAACAGAGAAGTCCAAACGGCGAATCAGACTTTCTCTGCTCACCTCTCTAGCCTCACAACACATAGCTGCTTCGACTATCAAGGCAGTTCACAAGAGAGTGTCAAACATACAAAAGAAGTAGAGGAAAATGATGATAGTAAGGATGAGGAAAGAAAAAGCAGCAGTTCCCCTTATGCTGTTTCGGCACAGAATGAGCATGACATTAATAAGTCAGCCCATTTACAATTCTACTGTGCATACGAACATATCCCCCCTTTGGGAATGGGCTAAAGACACTTCAGTCAGCGACATTGCCCTGGGGGGTCCAGAATAGAGAAAAGTGAAAAGTGTATGTTGGTGGCCCATAACCTGGCCCTGGATCAGAAAGGTGATGGTGAACTTTTACTACTTTCAAAAAGCTGCCACTCTTCTTATGAACTTAAAATCAGTCACTTCTTCAAACTGACAGAAGAATTTTAACAATGTAGTGGAAATTTGAACGCAAAATAAAGGGGGAAAAAAATCAAACAAACTTTTAAAATGAAAACTGCCAAAGATTATAGGAAATTCATCTCTGAGTCCATAAACTATAAACCTAGTCACAATTCAGCCTTGAGAATAGGATTATCAAGGCATACCTTATTCTATATGAAAAGATAATTGATATCATAAGCAGAATCAACAGAGGCATAAATCATAAAGCATGAAAAAACAACAACCAAAAAGCAAGAAATACTTAATACCTCCTATAAAATTCAGTTTCTAGAAATACAGAACCTCTAGCAAAAAGCCCAAGTATATTCCCCTCAGTAGTACTTTTGTTAAAATCATCACTAACGATAAACCTAGCCACAAGGAGATGTTGGGACAATGTTGAGCAAGCTGATGACCACAGACTTCAGCCTGACATCCCATTTTGTTTCCTCTGTAGGCCCATAGATTTGAAAGACGAAATCATAAAAAAGGAAGAAGTAACAAAACCTTAACGCATCAACGAAAAACATTTGAACTAACCGAGAGCAGTGCCGTAGCCAGCTGTGGCAAGGGATCCTGTATTGCAGTGGGTCAGGATGTTGACAGGTTTTTCCTCATTGTGGAACAGGATGTGCTCTGCTCCGAACCGCCCAATGTTTTTGTTGACATCAATATCTTTTTGCAGCATGCCTTCAAATTCTTTAATGACTCTGGAAGACAGAAATCCCACATTGATGTATCAAAATACTATGAAGAGAGAATTCAACTACACAAAATGAAATCAAATAAAAAATTAACGCTTTAAACAGCAATTAGTCTTTCATCTAAAAGAGGCCAAAATTCATATATGCTCCTAAACTTCTCATGTATGGAAAATGTGAGGATATCCTCTTTCAATACTGCAAACAATAGTAATAGATACCAGCATAATGCTAGCAGAAACATTCATACAACTGTACAGGTCCACAGTGAACTGACTCTTTAAAAAATTGCAAAGAACAACCTGACTGGCCATAAAAGTATCTAAAGCAGCTGAGATTACAGCTAAAAACAAAAAATATAATCAAACACAAGTTGTGTTTATAATTGGTGCATGGTTGTGAAAGTTCTTCATTATGTGGTTGAACTGGTTTTTCCTGTTACAGAGAAATTTTTATCTTGTATGAATCGCTCAGTGATCATGTGATCGATATATAAAAGCGCTCAGAGCTTATACTCGTATGGGATAGAGTGCTATGTGAATGCAATCTATTATCATTACTATTATTTTCTTACTTTAGTTTTGCTTCCTCGGGCTCCAGCTCTCCAGCATTTGCAATTTTTCTGACCATTTGTTTGCCTTTGGCTGAAGCATCTGCCATGTTTACAGCTGTGGGCCTCGCAGACACCAAGTACTCCAGCTTCTCCTCCACATACTGCTTCAGTTCTTGCAGAGTCGCAAACTTCTTCTGATTCAACTCCACAGTCAAGCTCAAGCAGCCAACAATGGCAATTGCAGGGGCACCACGAACCTAGAGGATGAGAATTCAAATGCTTTTGTAGAAAAATTCGACTCCAATGTACCTTTCGAAGTATGACATGCAATTTATATGAGTAGGCCTTGTATACATTAGCAGAAAGGACCTAAAACTGGGTACAAAGTTGTTAATAAATTTACTAGTATTAACCTCTCAAAAAGAAAACACTTTTTTTTTCACTGTGATCATATACATGTATGGCTATTGTTAGGAGACCGTACGCCCCAATAGTGCTTGGCGCTAGGGGACCGTACGCCCCCATAGTGCTAGGCGCTAAGGGACCATACGCCCTACCTGCGCCAAGGCTTAGTGTTAAGGGACGGTACGCAGATGTGCATGCATCAGGATTTTGCAAAAATACAGGAGGAAAACGGCCAGTTTAACGAAGCACCTGACGTTAGTGAGTTATTACAAGGAGAATGTTTAAAATGCCTGAATAGGATTGTGGGGCATCCAGTGGCGGTGGGTGAAACCAAATTTGAAATTTGCTCGCGTCTGCACCCATGTTGTTGTTAAGTGTCAATAAAAGAGAGAGAGAGAGAGAGAGAGAGAGAGAGAGAGAGAGAGAGAGAGAGGGAGGGAGGGAGGGAGGGAGGGAGGGAGGGAGGGAGGGAGGGAGGGAGAGAGTGAGAGAGAGAGAGAGAGAGAGAGAGAGAGAGAGAGAGAGAGAGCGAGAGAGAGAGAGAGAGAGGGAGGGAGAGGGAGGGAGAGAGAGATGGAAAGAGTTGGCGAAGGGAATGATGGGGCAAAAGATGGGGTCAGCAGGATAATTATATTATAAATGCTGTTAGATTGAGAAGAGATCATTAATCATGTGACGCCTTGTGTGGAATAAGAGTCAAGAGTATAAATTAAATCCATAGTATAGCAACACTTTCTTTTCTTGTTATAGTTATTGTCACTGAATGTAAGTTGATCTTGCGTCTTGCGCGCAATCAAGACTGAGTGAGTGCTCAGGCGTGTTCTGCATGCAGAAGTGAGTAAAATTCCAGCGTTTACGGGCGTTGTTAAATTGGATTTATATATTTTATACGAGGTGCTCACTACTGCTGGATTGGGCTGATCGCCTGACTCGATCGCCTGAAACTGAAAACAAACACGTTTGTTTTTTAGGCGACCAAGTCGGGCGATCGGCCGATCCCAGCCGTAGTGGGGACCCCGTATTAGGTCGCAAAGCTGAAAAATGTACTCGCGTCTTCACGCAGAATACACCTGAGCACACAGACTATTATCCTACTCATTTTTCTCCAAAACATTCCCTTTGTGTACACATGTTCATCGCTCCCTTTCTCTCACCCCCCCCCGGGACGGTGCCACTGACTGAAGTGTCTTTAGGCCATTCCCAAAGGGGGGGACATTTCTCAATCTTGCACAGTAGAATTGTAAATGAGCTGATCCATCAATGTCATGCTCATAACTGTGCCTGATCTACAACAGGGAACTGCAGCTTTTTCTTTCCTAATCCTTACTAAATAAAGTATTGTCATTTTCACTCTACTTCTTTTGTATGTTTGTCACACTCTTGTGACCCACTATTTCCGGGGTGCCTTGATAGTCGAAGCAGACTTTTTGCTGTTGAAGCTAGAGAGGTGAGTAGAGTAAGTCTGATTTCCTGTAAGGACTTCTCTGTTGACATCCACCCCTTGGCGCTCATATGACCTTAAGCAGTTGCGAGCACCATAAAACCTCAACAAAGACTAACCTAAACACACACACACACACAATACTTTGTCTCCCTCTCTCTCTCCCGCTCTTTCTTACTTTCTTTCTCATTCCCTTGGTCTGTTTTTCACACACTCTCTCTCTCTCTCTCTCTCTCTCTCTCTCTCACACACACCCTACAACGGCCTAAAGTCTAAATGTAATTTATGCATGAAGCCATGTCATGTCTTTCTATACAAAAATACAAACCTGCATTTTTTTGATGGCCTTCCATGCTGCATCAGTGTCAGCAATCTCCAGATAGTGAGTTGCGTCAGGCAGAAGAAGCTGGTCCAAGATGTCTAATTGACCTCTGTGGTATTTAATTGCTTGAAGTGTCATTCTGCCTCAAAGGTAGTCAACTGTGACCTAAAAGACCCAAAGTTATGTTATATTAATAGTTAAAAGGGTTATTGAAGGTATAGATCTACTACAGCACAATATTTATACTG